CCATTTGGCATGGACTTGTTACACTTTTACCCTCTGAGAGGCTCGCTGGATCGAAAACCAGGAAGGGCGACCCAGGCAAAAGTTAGAGCAAAAGAAAAATACAAAAAAAAAAGAAAAAAAAAAAAAAAAAAAAAGAAGAAGCAAAAAAAGCAAAAAGAAAAAAAAGAGAACAAAAAAGAAAGAAGCAAAGAAAAGAACGAAAAAAAAAAAAAATCAAAAAAGGAAAAAGAAATGAAAAGAATTGAAAAGAAAAGAAGAACAAAGCTCGCAAGGTCGAAAACCCGCAACGGGCGCCTTGGCAAAAGTTAGAGCCTAAAAAGGAGAGGTTAAATACCTGAGTGTACCTTAACCCCGAACTACGTGAGGCTTGATTCCCATCTTTGGGATAAGTAGGCAACTTCATTCTGAAGCCCAGCCGTAAAACAATTCAATTGTGTCCATGTAATGGTTTTGATCATCTTTGCCTTCTCTGTATCCGAGAGTCGGGTTGTGTTCGTCCTTTTGAGGACTGCCTACAATGCACTGCGGTGCCGTTCAAACAAGGGGCAACTTTCTGTCGCCATTCAATGCACCGCGGCGTCATTCAAACAAGGGGCAACTTTTCATTGCCATTCAATACGCTGTGGTGCCATTCAAATAAGGGGCAACTTTCCGTTGCCATTCGAAACGCCGCAGTGTCATGTCAAACAAGGGGCAACTTTCCGTTTCCATGCGGTGTTCTTCAGACAAGGGGCAATTTTCCATTGCCATGGATCCGAGGTTGCGCATCTCAAAAGTAGGTTCCGCGCTCGTCCAGCAGTGACCGTTCGCAAAAATAGTTTTTGAGAATTTTTACTGAAGTTGACTAATCTTCTCGAAAAGTATTCCATTTTTAAAACTGGACCATTTCTTGGACCCAAAAGAGGAAAATTTTCAGTGCTCATAGCCTAACTTGCATGATTTTAAATGAAAAAATCGAACAAGCGCGTTAATCTAACTCTCATGTTGGCCAAAACTGTTTAGTAGAAAGCAAAAAAAACAAAAATGGTCAAAATAATGAACTAGGGGCACAGTTGAGTCAGGTGTTCTGTCTTTTCCCCTTTATCAAAATACTTGCCAGAAAGGGCACTCTACTCGTCGGAAAGGGCATCGCATTCGCCCGAAAAGGGCACACCAAAGAGCAGAAAGCTCTCACATCCTCCAAGGAACGAGGTATGAAGCAAAGTGCGAAGCACGAACTAGAATGGGGCAAGATATTCCACTTCCTCATCTGGACAGGTCTAACCACGTCCAAACTCCCCGACAGTGCATCATCAACCGATGTTAGCCGCAGATTTGCTACACATCCTGTTGTAGCACAACCCCTCTGAGAGAGGAACTCACTAGCTGCGCGCAGGAAAAGAAGAATCTAGCAGAATGCTAGGGGCACGAGCCCACAATTTTCTGTTCATCCATCAACCACCCAGGGGAGGGATTGAAAAATGAGAGATCGAAGAATAGAGAGATGCGCGATGAGAGGAAAAGTGAGAAAAGGGCTTTTTCAGAAAAAACAGAGCTTGAGGGCCGAGTGATGTGAGAACCACAAATGAGAAAGGGTGGGAAACACTACCCGGTGAAACAGGCTCCCTGTGCACGTCTGAGTGTCGTGTCTTTTTGTTTTATCTCGATTCTTGTTTTGAGTCGTTTCGAGTGTTACTCGATGTTTCTAGGTTGTGTGCCTTTTACTTCCTTGTTGAGTTGTCTTGCTGTGTTCAGTCATAGGCTCGATACCCGGTCAAGAGCTCATTTATCAATTCCAAATATAAAATCATTTTGCGCTCCGAGTGCCGTGCCGTTCTCCACATCTGTGCAAAACAAGATTCATTCTTTCATAAAACCACAGGGTTCAACCCAGGTCACGTCAGAACAGTTAACCAGGACTTGTCTAAAGCTATATGGTTCCGGACTGCAA